TCATAGAATCCCTGCAGTGCAGATAGAGGCCATTCAGCCCATCAAGTCAGCACCAACTCTCTGAAGAGCATCACACACACCCCACCCACCCAATCCCTACGACCCCACATTTACCATTGCTAATTAACCTATCCTGCATATCTTTGGATGGTGGAAGGAAACAGTAGCACCCAGAGGAAGTCTACACAGACATACGGAAAACATGCAAACTCAACACAGTCACTCAAGGCTGGAATGAAACTTAGGTCCCTGGTGCTGAGAGGCAGCAGTGCTAGCCACTGTGTTGGCACTCTCAGCAATTTATTGCAATTTTGAGCAAATGCCAGAAAAGCAACAATGCGGATAGAAACATTTTGGCTTAAAGCCACATCCATTCATAAGGGTAAGAACCATAAAACTACCTGATCCCTCCAAATCTCTCCTGATGTACTCTTCAGAGTTATCTTCAAATGCTTCTTCGTCAGCAGCTAAAAATAATAACACCAACATTATGCTGCTGGTAAACATGAAGAGGATTTCTTTATTTGATAGCTCTCAATTCAGTGAACAGCACACAAAGCTACTCATTCAATCAATCACATTTCCAAACATAACATAATCAATTCCACATTTTTTTTGAAGTTACAATTCAGGTCATTTTATGAATTGCCACAATTTCCTGAAAACAACGTAGTACATTATTGCCAAAGTTATTACAGATAAACTTGTTTAATTTCAACTTTCTCTCCTGCAAGCCTGGAGGCCCCAGGTCATGTTTATGTATTATTCTGTCTAATTAATGACTGTCACCAAGCCATTAAACAATGAATGCTATCCAACAAATCTTTTTCTCAACAACTCATCAGCATTTTCAATAGTTTCACTGGAACCATCACAAACAATTATGCTTTGTATTTGATAGTATAAATTTCTCTGATGTTAATTACCTCTGAATTCCATGTTAGGAACAATAACCTTTTCACAAATACTGGTTAATGTATTCTGATCTTCAAACAAATGTTTGTAGTGTGGTCTCTCACAGACAGATGCCAGGAACTGAATAGCATTGCTTACCAGCTAAAAAGACAAGGAGAGTAAAGATTAGACTTTACTTGGTGGAATAAAAAATGAAGACAGATTTTGGGGCAAGGACGAGAGGCATTTCCTCTGTCAAAGATTCTTCGTAAATTTTGCTTTAAAAAAGTAAATAGCATTCAACTTATGCAAAGTTAAGTTTATTTCAGATTTGCACAGTCACTCATATTCCAATGATGTGCCTTGCTGGGATATCTTGTATGCATCTTAAAACAAGTTTTTTTCCCCCTAAAACTGAAGGGAGAGCTAAAGATAGGTGATGATCTAAAGATGTTGATTAACTATATATTTCAACACTCATTTCTTTCAGAATTAAGCTTTGAGAGATGGAATTTAACATTAAAAAAAAAAGTGCACACTATTTAAGATGATGGGGAAACAAGTATTTTATGGTGAAGAGCCGTTGTCTTCAAGGTCTATACAGTGACTCAACATTTGCAGGATCAGATCAACATTGTATTCAGGCCAAAATAAAACGAATCAGGTGTCTCTCCTACTTGTCTTAAAATGTATTTTGCCACAGTACCTTGCCTTAGGAGATAAAAACTTAGGCTTTTGTTAATTTAGACGCAATTGCCAGATTAAAGAAAACAACTGTAGACAGAGATGAATAACACACCTTCTTAAGTTAGTGCTTTATGGAAGGACCACATCTTTATTTCTTTTACCTGTACTTTTGAACTGTGACCCAAAAACATAAGACATTTTTATAAACCAAGGCAAATGTTAAAGGAGATAGCTGCTGTTTTAAAAATCACTTTTGTTGGAGCACATTGTGAGTTGCATATATGATGATACATTTTGCTGGAACACATAAAAAAGACACCAGAGCCAATGGATTCTGAACTAAGAAATAAACTGTTTGATGACCACTTTTTGATCAGCTTCAGACGAACCATATGATATTAAGAAGTGCCGGCAAAACAGAAATCAATGGGAATTGTGGGAAATCGTTCAATTGGTTGGAGTCATATGTAACAAAGGAAAAACATATTCATTGGAAGTCAATCATCCCAACCCCTGAACATCAGTGCAAAAGTTCCTCTGGTAGCATCCTTGAGTCAACCGTCATTAGCTGCTTCATCAATGACCTCCATTAGGTCAGGAATAGGGTCAAGCACTGGCAACCGTACAATGTTGCACACCCCTTGCGACTCCTTGGTTTGTGTCCGTTTGCAGCAAGACCGAGGCAACATTCAGGCTGGGCAGGTAAGTGGCAAGTAACATGAACACTGCATGAATGCCAAACAACAACCATCGCCAATGAGAGAGAGGATTTAACCAAGTACCCAGAACTGACAATGTCATTACTGCTTCTGAGTCTGCTGCTAACAACATCCTGGAGGTCACCTTTAACCCGAGACTAAACTGGCTAAAACAGCATATCGGAATCTGGGAATTCTACGGTTTGCACTCACCCATCGACTTCTCAAAGCCTGTCCATCATTTATAAGGCACAAGTCAAGAATGTCATGCAAGTAGCGTGAAAACATCCAGGACAAAACAGCTACATGATTGGCACCCTACACACCATCTTCAACAGGTACTCCCCTCCACCACCAACACAGTGGAAGAACATGCACCACATGCAAGATGCTACGACTCCTTCAACAGCACCTTCCAAACCTGTGACCTTCCATTTCAAAAGACTGGGGCAGAAGCACAGAAACACCAAGCCTGTATTTTTCCATCAGGCTACACACCACCCCTTGGAGGTGTATTGCTGTTCTTTCACTGGTACAGGGTGAGCTTCCTGGAATTCTCTTCATAATAGTATCGTAGACACCCCTACACCCCAAAGGGGTAAAATAAAAGAGGTACACAAAGTTCTTCCTTCCTTAGCTGTTGGTTGCAACGGAGTTGTTTGGCATGTTGTTTTACAGGGCTGGCAAGTCAATCACACACCTGCTGATCTAGAGTAATGAATAGGACAGGCAAGCTAAGGATGGCAGATTTCCTCCCCAAAGACACAAATGAAGCACATGGGTTTTTAAGGCAATTTGATATTTTTAAACTTCAAATGAGTTTCAAATTTCATTAACAACAGAGTTGACTATTTCTCTAGATTTCACAATGCTTGAACATGCGAAGGGAATTTTGTTACTTGTGAAAATGTTCGGTTCTATCACTTCTAAATACTACTCCAGCACATAACAAAATGATTACACTTTTGTTTTCAAGTTATCACATTCTAAACTGCAACTGTAATACGTTGAGGCAACCTGTTCCCAAATATGTGACAGGACTGTTTTACAGTTAGCCACGAACAGATGAAAGAAAACACTCCAAGTATACAGGTACCGAACACAGTCGGGTCTGTCTCTGTGCAGGAGAAAATCATGTGGTTGAGATCAAAAGCTCATGAAGCAAAAACTAAAGAGAAAGAAGGTGCACCTGACAGGTAGATAGTCAAAGCTTAATTCTAAAAGTGAGCCACAAGAGCAATAAGGTGAAGTGCAAAAATAGCTAAAGACTTCAACTTCTGAAAAATTTCCCAAATAATACATTTCTAATAGATTGCTTATATTTTTTATAATAACAAAACCTACCAAGTCATATTTAACCTCCTGCTTGGTTGTGACTAGTAGATTCCAAATAGCTGTGACAAATTGAGGTAGATAGGGCTGGAACTCTTCATCATATTTCTGAGCATAGAGAGCAGCATTATCACATATTTGGGACTTCAGCAGTTCCAACAAACCAGCCTCTTCTTCATCCTGCAAGAAATTAATTTAAAGAATTATTTAAATTCATTTAGAATAGCAACTTGGATAAAATTTAATGTTCAAAGCAATGAGCTTGAAATGTTTTTGTACAAAAGCACAGGTGACTACAGTGTTATGACAAAATATAGAAAATATGCATATTTTAATTTCTCCTATACTTGCTTTAAAAAATGCTTCAAGAATTGGATAAACTTTCAAACAAAACACAATTCCTAGGGTGTTTTTTGATACGCTTTAGTAGACAGAATTCTCATTTGAATTCTGAATGAATAATGAAGTTTCATGTTGCAACATCCCTTCCAACGTGGAACCAGCAGCTGAACGCTCAAAGACAATCAGAGAAAGGAAAGAATGGTCAAAGGGTGACTTAACTGAAACGTTGGAAAGTGCAACTTTTATCGCAGCATTATACTTTTGCACGTGTGACAAATCCAGCCCAAGTCTACTCCTCAACGTTCCTTGCCTCCCCCAGCCAAACTTTTAAGAAGTTGGATGTGAAGAGCATCAGGAAGGAATTGTATATATAAACATTGCAAACAGCATCAATGCTTTCACAGACCTGCCACTTACATTAGTTTGTAGCAACTTATTGTCCAAAGTGAGTAAACTATGAAAGTTCATCATCCATGTTTCCATGTTATCTTCAAAAAACTCTGGCAAATCCTGCAGAGTACAAAACAAATTATTACCTGCAAATCTGCATAAATGCACATCACAAAATGAAATCCACACCACTAAATACTTACTTGGAAATTTAAGCTATAGAACAGCTTAGCAATCAAAACGAGAGAAGAGAAGAGAACCTTCAATACGTTGACATCCTTGGCATGTGTATGGCACAGTTCAATTGTAGTCTGCAAAAATTATGCACTTCAATTATGGCGGAAAACAAGTACATTGAAGCAATTTTCAAATTACAATCTACATTATCTCAAAACTGAAATAATCAGTGAGGTATGAATATCATGCAGAAATTTTAAAATCGTGTTACGAAGTTAAGTTAGCAGTACCACATACTTTAAAAAGTGCAGTGAGGGGTTCTGCAAAAGTGTCTAACACCAGTTTAATCTCAGTCCACAGTTCATTTGACTTGAATTCATGTCGATACCTAATGGGATGAAATATTACATGAAAAGAATGGAATTAACTTTTGTCAAGAGGCAAAACAATTTACATTTCTATAGAAAGTGCGCATTATTAGGTTGTTCCAAAGAATTTTAAGCCAGTTAAGTCCTTTGGAAGTGTAGGAATGGGAATAGTGTTGTAACAGCTAATTTGTAGACAGTAAACTCCCAAATAGAGTAACATACGGCAATATATAATTGTTGTTCTGTGGAGGAATATGGCAGCCAAAATGCCAAAGAAAGAAAATAATTAGTTAATCAATGGCTCTCAAGCATTTTTGCCAAAATAGAATAACTGAAGGATCCAGGCCCGAAACGTCAGCTTTCCTGCTCCTCTGATGCTGCTTGGCCTGCTGCGTTCATCCAGCTCTACACCTTGTTATCTCATTTGTATTCTAAGTTGTTTGACAGAATTGAGAGCCCTTTGACAGCTTTGAATGTTCTTCAATATGTTTAACAGATTGCAAAAGGTTGATGGCAAGTTTAGGCACATCCGTGTCTGCCTTTTGCAATCCAAAATGGTACCTAAACCCCCACAACGTTCCATTCCCACACACTGAACCAACCTCTCTGAT